TGTGACCTTGAAATTGACCTTTGACCTACTTTTTATCATGAACTGAACTCTGCTAATTTCTTTCTCTTTTAACTTCAAACTTGACAGAGATAGGTCCATAGTTACTCTTGAACTTGAATAGGAAGTCATATACTGGCAATTTACTGTGACCTTGAAATTGACCCTTGACCTACCTTACGAAGAACTTAAATTTGATTGTACCATATATATTTTTTGCAATAGTTAAAAAATTCTTGTTGATTGCATTTTTACAGCTTGTCAAGCACAAAACTGGTGGCTGTGTCCCTTATTTTGTGTATGTGGGGGTCTATACGAATGCGTTTGCTCCAGCTGGTGGTACAATATTTGGAGGCGGTATCGGCTCTCTGATCCTCTAGTTTGATATATGTGTTTGGAAGGTTATGACTCCTTAAATATGTTTGGTTTCGTTCCAGGACGGTTCAAAACAGTAGGCCACTTTGGCATTAGATTACTGCTTTCATTAAAGAAATGATAATGAGAAAGTCTAAGTTTACAAACCTTACTTTAACCATTTCACTCACTTGACCCTAGCCAGAAAACTGACCAATGTTGAGTTAGAGTATTAATATAAGAATGGCAGATGACAGTGACAAAAAATAAATTTTCATATTGTTTACAAGTTTGTTATTATTTACCTTTATTCTTTTATTTTCTCAATAAAATGTAGTCAATTACCATTCTACAGAATGACTACAGGGTGTATACTAAAAAAAAAAAAATAGTTGTTATTATTGAATAATCCTGGTAGGATAAACAATTTATATTAGGTTGATGAATGAAATATAACATAATGGGAAATATAATGCAGTGTGGTTTATGTGGTAGGTAAATTGGGGAAATTTATGAGTGAATAGAAAGTAGAATATGTGACAGAAAATGTGCTTAGTTGATTTCTGATTATTGACCAGTTGATTTGTTGGAACAATTTTGTAGCTGTAGTTTTGGTTACAAGGATCTTTTTCTCGTCAGGAATTTGGAACCTTCCTCAATAAACAAGACGTCCAGCGTCAGACCTCATGGCCTCAGAAGGTCAGCATTCGCGTGCAAGACACTCGTGCTAGTGATACAAGACAGGACACCACCAAAGCAGAGCTAGTGCGCTCAGATTCTGAGCCATCAGGGCGATCCTCCATTCTGGCTGAGCTAATACAGGCAGTGGGTATTGGACCAGACTCAGGGTCTGGGTCTAATTCTGGGAGAGCAACACCTGTTGGGGAGGAGGGGTTTCAGGCAGTGTCACAGCAAAAAGGTAAGGGGAGCTGCAGAGTTAAAAAAAAAAAGTTTAGTCATTCATCTTTGTGATCTTTGTCATCAAGTGATAACCATTTTATAGGTTCTCAGAAATTTTTTTTTACCTACTTGCACTTTGAGCAGGTAGGGCCTAGACGAGTTGCAGCTCAAAGCAGAAACAGTAAACAGAAACATTATTATATCTAGATTTTACTGGCAGTTGATGTAACGCCAGTGTTGGTTGCTAACCAAAGATAGGATTTTGTTGAGGAATTTTTTATGAAAATAAAATCAAGAATGAAAAAGAAAAAGGAAAAAAGATAAATCATGTCACAGCTTTAGTAAGATAAGGTTTAGATAAAGTCTGTCAGTCAATATAATTATAAAAGTGTTTCAATTTAATCTAAGACTTCAAGATTAACTATCAGTATAATGATGCACAGATGTGATGAAGCTATTTCATAAAAAGGACGATGTTAACTGTTTTTAACCTTCATTCTGTTATATTTTTCATCCTTTGTATCCTGCATTTATCCTGTATGCCCACCCAGGCACAGTACTTTTATCCTACATTTATCCTATATACTGACCCAGGTACATGAACACAATAGTTTTATCCTACTTATCCTTCATATATCCTTTATGCCCACCCAGGTATGGAACCAATGAACCAGTGGGTGGAATACGACGAGGGACAGAGTCAGCAGATGGAGGACGCCTCCGCCATTAAGGCACTGTTGGAGATGAAGAACGGCAGCCAGCCACGCTCCAGCTCTCTGGATATCGGCCAGATACAGCTACAGACTGTGGACCTCTATGCACTAGGTAAGTTATGATAGGGTAAAAAGGGTAAGTTGTAAAAGGGTAAAAAGGGTAATTTGTTATATGGTAAAAAGGGTAAGTTGTGATAAGGTAAGAAGGGTTTGTGAATGAGGCGTAGGGGGTTAGGCTAAGAAAATGATTGAATTCTCTGTACCTTGTACCGGTACAGCTAAAGATTTTAGAGGCTGAACATGTTTTGACTTATGAGGCATGCCATTGCAAAAATCAGTTTAGTCTGTTGTGAAAGGACTGTTTTAGATAGATAGATAGATAGATAGATAGATAGATAGATAGATAGATAGATAATTTTTTTTTAAATTTTTTGTGCATATACCTATCTCACCATATTTATTCTCATTCTTCAGATCATCAGAATAAGTTGAATTGTCCTAAGATCTATGTGGTTTTTGACTGCTTAATATTTGGATGATTATCTTCCTCTACGTAACACCTGCTTTTTATTTTTGCTTCAGAACAAGCATTGAGCCAGCAGGCTGCTCAGAATGCACAGCAAGAGCCCGCGGCACACACGTCAGGACTGGAGTACCTGCAAGCCGCTGCCCTGGATGTGGAGAAACAACAGGTGAGTGAGGTAATGGTAGATCAGAATGCACAGCAAAAGCCCGCGGCACAGACGTCAGGACTGGGGTACATATGCAAGCTGCTGCCCTGGATGTGGAGAAACAACAGGTGAATGAGGTAATGGTAGCTCAGACATAAAGAAACTACAAGACTGGAGACACTTGTTTCCTCAATACAGTGTATGTGTTTTTGAAATACACTTGGACCTGTGTAGCTTGGCAGGGCCTGCAATATCTAGAATTCAGTAGGTTCTTTAGCAGTGCTTTCAGGATTTTCACCATGTTTGATTCTCTGTCTCATTACCAGTCCTAGCAAAACTATTAAGGAGTTCAATATGAGCTTGCTGATTAGTCTGTTTTTTTTCCCTCCAGAGGTCAGGTGATGTCAGCTATGTCCGCCCCCAGACAGGCCCTGCCCAGACCCGAGAAACATATCAGGGTGAGCTGGACCCCAGAACGGGCCTCTTTTATAGCTCATCAAAGGACCAATCACAGTCAAGTTCACAAACGGCCAGTAATATCAAGCCAGACAAACCCCAAACCACTGTCGAAGAGCAAAAGACATTGGATATATTCAGCAGTGCTCTGGCACAGGCGGAGATTAATCTCGACCCATATCAATTTGTTGACGAGGAGGAGGAGGACGTTACAGGGCTTACTCCATCAAAAATGCAGCCAGCGTCTTCCTCTCAGTTATCAGAGGGTTCAGGGTCACAAGTCAGTGCCAGCACCTTGATGAGTATTCTGTCCTCCAGTACAGGAGAGCAGTATAGTTTACTGCAGGGCTCGCAGACTACAGAATTATCTCAAGGTGTGTATTGAATATTAGTCTCATGATATGCTATGGTGGTTTGTATAAAATTATGGAAAGATTAATAAGGTTAAAGTTAGATTGGTAAAAAAATATTAATTATTTTATTGCATTTCATTGCATTGATAAACTTAATTCAATAGCATGACATGGACAGACCTTCAAAAAGAGAAAATAATAAAATTTTATGTAGAATAATGGAAAAAAAACTGGATTCCGTTGAAATAAGATAATGGCTATAATTTCTTTCCTAAACTAGAAAAGCACTCAGAGAGCACAGACCTCTGCCAAAGCTGCAAAGTCTCCATCCAATGCTGTTTCACCCCTAAATTTTCGATATTTTTGATTATTGATTGATTATTGATCCAGATCACCACCAAAAACTTATCATCTGTTCCTTGGCCAACTCCTGACAGTTCCTGAAAATTTCATAAAAATCGGTCCATAACATATTTTTTTGATTATTGATTAATGATTATTGATTGATTATTGATCCGGATCACCACCAAAAACTAATCGCTTCTAAGTTAAGCCATTTCTGACCTACCCTGAAAATTTCATCAAAATCGGTCCAAACCTTTCTTAGTTATGTTGATGACAAACAGACAGAAAGATGGACAAACAGGGGTGAAAACATAACCTCCTTGCAGAGGTAATAAGTTTCTGTCCAGAACATTTCAAAATTTATAAGAACTTTCAGAAGTATTTTCTCCACAAACAAACTAATGCTGTACATAGAAAACATAACTTACATCATTTGGCAGAGGGGGTAAATTGCACCAAAATGCAATTCTGCACCGAGAGTTAGTAAAAGTAACATATATTTTTCAGACTATTCACAAACCAGCCAATCATCCAGCGCAGACGTCAGTTTGGGAGAGCTGTCGCCCCAGCAACAAGATCAGTTCCAGCAACCACAGACACTGTTACAAGTGAAGGATGGCTCAGACATAGGGAGGCAGGCAGAGTTCATCCCACTACAGCAGGTGCAGGGCAAGCCTGGGGCTACCACCATCCATGTACTACAGACAGTACAGGTGGGGAGACAGTGAAATAGAATTTTTGGGTGAAATAGAATTTTGCTTTGCTGTTCCTGTAGAGATGGGATAAAAGTGAATTATTTTTAATAGGCTGAAAGTGTTTTCCACCTTTGAGATATGAGGTTTTGAATCTTCATCAATGGGTCTGGATCACATGATTAACTTGGTAATGTGATATGGAAGAATATTTTTATTCTCTTATTTCTTATTTTTCTTTTGGAAATATGTTTATTTATNAGGATTTAATCTAAGACTTCAAGATTAACTATCAGTATAATGATGCACAGATGTGATGAAGCTTTTTCATAAAAAGGACAATGTTTACTGTTTTTAACCTTCTGTTATATTTTTCATCCCTTGTATCCTGCATTTATCCTGTACACCCACCATTGCACAGTACTTTTATCCTACATTTATCCTATATACTGACCCAGGTCCATGAACATCATCATCATCATCATCATTTAGAGCCTGTAGTGTTCCACTGTTGGACAAAGGCCTCAGCATGCTTTTTCCATTGTTTCCTATCCTGAGAGTCCATGAACACAATAGTTTTATCCTACTTATCCTTCATATATCCTTTATGCCCACCCAGGTATGGAGCCACTGAACCAGTGGGTGGAATACGACGAGGGACAGAGTCAGCAGATGGAGGACGCCTCCGCCATTAAGGCACTGTTGGAGATGAAGAACGGCAGTCAGTCACGCTCCAGCTCTCTGGATATTGGCCAGATACAGCTACAGACTGTGGACCTCTATGCACTGGGTAGGTTATGATAGAGGAAAAGGGTAAGTTGTAATAAGGTAAAAAGGGAAAGTTGTTAAGGGTGAAAGGGGTAAGTTGTTATAGGGTAAAAAGGGTAAGTTGTTATAGGGTAAAAAGGGTAAGTGAAGAGGGTGTGGAGGTTTGGGCTAAGAAACTGAACAATTTCTCAATACCGTGACTTTGTACAGCTGTCCACCGGATCTGTTATTACTGGGTAAAATGGCTGAGTAAAGGAGGATGAAGTGGATTGGGCAAAGAAGATGATCAATTTCTCTTGATTTGGTCTAGATACAGCTGTGGATAATTTGTCTCATTGAATACATGGGGTGATACAAGGGAGAGTTTATTTTATTATTTTTTTTACAGTAGCTTATTGTAATAGTCTTAAAATGGTTGAACACGGTTTGACAACCTGTTAACAGTTAAATCTTGGACAAAAGAGTATATTGTTTTTAAAGAGGCTAAACAGGGGTTTACCTATAAGACATGGCATTGCAAAATCAAATCACATTTAGTCTGTTTTGAAAGGATTTTTTTTTGTTTGTTTGTTTGTTTTTTTTTGCACATAATTAATCTCACTATATTCAATCTTGTTCTTGAGATCACCAGAGAAGGTTGAATGATCCTAAGATCTATGAGGTTTTTGACTGCTTAATATTTTGATAATTATCTTCCTCTTCATAAATTATTTTTGTTTCAGAACAAGCATTGAGCCAGCAGGCTGCTCAGAATGCACAACAAGAGCCCGCGGCACAGACATCAGGGTTGGAGTACCTGCAAGCCGCTGCCCTGGATGTGGAGAAACAACAGGTGGGTGAGGTAATGGTAGATCAGAATGCACAGCAAGAGCCCACGGCACAGACGTCAGGGTTGGAGTACCTGCAAGCCGCTGCCCTGAATGTGGAGAAACAACAGGGAAGTGAGGTGTTGGTAGATCCAACATGCATGAAGAAACTGCAAGACTGGAGACACTTGTTTCCTTAATACAATGTGTGTTTCTAAAATACATTTGGACCTGTGTACCTTGGCAGGGCCTGCAATATCTAGAATTGAGTAGGTTCTTTAGCAGTGCTTTCAGGATTTTCACCATGTTTGACTCTCTCTGTCTCACTACCAGTCCTAGCAAAACAATTAAGGAGTTCTATATGTGCTTGCTGATTAGTCTGTTTTTTCTCCCTCCAGAGGTCAGGTGATGTCAGCTATGTCCGCCCCCACACAGGCCCTGCCCAGACCAGAGAAACATATCAGGGTGAGCTGGACCCCAGAACGGGCCTCTTTTATAGCTCATCAAAGGACCAATCACAGCCAAGTTCGCAAACGGCCAGTAATATCAAGCCAGACAAACCCCAAACAACTGTGGAAGAGCAAAAGACATTGGATATATTCAGCAGTGCTCTTGCACAGGCGGAGATTAATCTCGACCCATATCAGTTTGTTGACGAAGAGGAAGAGGATGTTACAGGGCTTACACCATCAAAAATGCAGCCGGTGTCGTCCTCACAGTTGTCAGAGGGTTCAGGGTCACAAGTCAGCGCCAGTACCTTGATGAGTATTCTGTCCTCCAGTACAGGAGAGCAGTATAGTTTACTGCAGGGGTCGCAGACTACAGAATTATCTCAAGGTGTGTATTGAGTACTAGTCTCATGATATGCTACAGTGGTTTGTATAAAATTATGGAAAGATTAATAAAAAAATATTAAGTATTTTATTGCATTTCATTGCATTGATAAACTTAATTCAATAGCATCACATGGAAAGACCTTCAAAAAGAGAAAATAGTGAATAAAATTTTATGTAGATTAATTTTTTAAAAAACTGGATTACGTTGCAAAAAGATAATGGCTATATTTTCTTTCCTAAATAAGTTTCTGTCCAGAAAATTTCAAAATTTATAAGAACTTTCAGAAGTATTTTCTCCACAAACAAACTAAATGCTGTACATAGAAAACATAACTTACATCATTTGGCAGAGGGGGTAAATTTGCACCAATATGCAATTCTGCATCAAGCGTTAGTAAAATTAATCTCTTCCATTTAACATACATTTTTCAGACTATTCACAAACCAGCCAATCATCCAGCGCAGACGTCAGTTTGGGAGAGCTGTCGCCCCAGCAACAAGATCAGCTCCAGCAACCACAGACACTGTTACAAGTGAAGGATGGCTCAGACATAGGGAGGCAGGCGGAGTTCATCCCACTACAGCAGGTGCAGGGCAAGCCTGGGGCCACCACCATCCATGTACTACAGACAGTACAGGTGGGGAGACAGTGAAATAGAATTTTTGGGTGAAATAGAATTTTGCTTTGCTGTTAATGTAGAGATGGGATAAAAGTGAATTATTTTTAATAGGCTGAAAGTGTTTTCCACCTTTGAGATATGAGGTTTTGAACCTTCATCAATGGGTCTGGATCACATGATTAACTTGGTAATGTGATATGGAAGAATATTTTTATTCTCTTATTTCTTATTTTTCTTTTGGAAATATGTTTATTTCTTTATTTTTTTATTGCAGACATCCATGTCATTTCCTGTTTTTAATAATGTCTAAACATTATTATTTTCATAGGCCTATTTGTCTCTGTATTATTATTATTATTATTATTATTATTATTATTATTATTATTATTATTATAGCAGACCCCTGTCTCAGCAGTAGGTGCTGGAGATACCCTTGGTGTGGAGGAACTCACAGGTCAGTTGTATGAGATGGTGGAGGAAGAGGCTGGGGAGGGCAGTTACTTTGGCTCTTCATCAGGTAAGAAATATCTCCACCAAAAGAAGAGTTGTGTCTTCATTTTATTTATTTATTTATTTATTTATTTATTTATTTATTTATTTTTGATAAGATATCTATAAACATTCTTTACAATGAAACGAAATTTTAAGGGGGGATATTTTTAGGGAAAGAAAGGATTACACATTTATATGACTGTGACCTTTGACCTTGCAGGCTCTGACCTCTATGATGCCAGCAGTGCAGCAGTTAGGGCCAGTAAAAGGAAGAGGAAGGCACCCCTGGCTCCAGATGACAGTCCTCCACACACAGTGGGCGGGTGGACCAGAGTTGCCTTGGGGTCAGTGGACACTTCTTACCAGACCAGGACATCCCTGCTTCTGGGACATTTAGAAAAAAATGTTTAAAATGATGGATTTGGTCATTTGGTCATTCTCTCTTTCTCTCTCTCTCTCTCTCTCTCTCACACACACACACACAATTGATTTCTTTTGAAAGCACCAAGTGAAAACATCAAGGGTAATATGCTTTAGTAAAATTTCTCATAAAACAAATTTTAAAAAATTTGTTTGTTTTCACCAGACTGCTTCAGAGAGTTTCTAGATTCCGTGGAGCCAACAGAGAGAAAGGGGAAGTCAACGCAGCATCTTGGTTTACCAGACCAGGTATTACTTTTATCAGACGTGATTTATTAATTGATTAATTTATTTATTTATTTTAATCAAAAATCTTTTGTTGTTGTTTTTTTTTTCGTGGCTGTCATCTTACTTCAGCTGCTCCCCAAGACCCTCAGTTTAAGTCCACCAAGTCTTTTCTCCCGGAATTTTTCTTACAATCCAAAATCCTGTTGGTTCAATGTCAACATCTACATTAAGCCAAGGCTAATTTCCTGGTGAGGTAGCAGACAAGAGCTGCCAGTTTCTGAATAGTTTGAACCTTATTTTATGTAAAGTCAACATCTATCTGCAGCCAATAAACAGGCTTACTAACTAAAGCATCTTCTGGATGTGATTGTAGCAATTAATTGATTATTAGTTTTTTTTTGTTTTTTTTTTTTTTGAGTAATTTAGTATTTTTAACAGGCATTGTAGTCTACATTATGTCCAAATGTCTGCCACATATTTAACCAATTACTATAATAAGACAATTATAAATATTTTAATATGGCCACAGTAAATCAGAAAAGAATTTTATCATATGTGTTATGTAATGAGAATACAGGATAGAGGCTTTTCACCTGGTTATACGCATTCCCTGGTGAAGATGCTCTTAATAGACATCAAAATATTGACGGTAGACAACATTTTCAATATTACCTGTTGACTGAATAAAAATCCTAATTAAAAATTTTAGCATTTGTAACAGCAAAGTATTTGAAATTGGCTACATGACCGTGTCTATTTCTGTTTGCAGTGGATGAGGCGGAGGCCCCGGGTTACCATGATATTATAAAGAATCCCATGGATTTCAGCACAATAAGGAGGAAATTGGAGGTAATGGCAAAAGACTGTTAGTAAAAAAATAATATAAAAGTTAAATGTTTGTTTATATATCAGATAAGAATAGGGGGGAAAACTATAGATAAAAGCACAGGGTTGTTAGAAAAAAAATAATATTAAAGGTAAATGTTGGTTTGTATATCAGATAAGATTAGGGAGAAAAACTGGTGATGAAAGCAAAGGATTGTTAGAAAAAAAAATAATATAAAAGTTAAATGTTTGTTTATATATCAGATAACAGAATATCAGATAATATAGATATGACAGACACTGGAAATTTTACTGTAATTGTTACAAATGGAACGGAATTATATGACAACTTGAGTCAGGTCGAGTTTAATGGAACTGAATTATTTGTCCTTGTTTTAGGTTGGAATGTATGCAAACTTCAGCGAGTTGAATGATGACATGTTGTTGGTTCGAGACAACTGCTACAGCTACAACCCGCCAGGACACGATGCGCGGAGAGATTGTGATGAGGTGTTCGCCTTCTATCAGATGGAGTATGAAAAGACCATGGAAAAATGGAACAAGGTACGTTTTTAGGGTGTGCTTAGACAGGGGCCACTTTGGATTGGAAATAGGTCCAATATTCTTAAGCAGGTCACTAAATTGATGAAACATAAAAGAAGAGTGAAAAAAGTAAAACTTGAAAATTTATGGACAAGGATGATAGAAGTTTTTATCATAGATAAACATATATTTAAGCCTGGCCATGACTTGGTTTTAACACTGATTCGTGAGAGTGCAAAAATCTAAAGAACCAAATCTAAAGTTTGGACTAATGTAGGCATTGCATATACTTGAATTAGAAATCCATGAAATATTTGAGCATTTTCTTACCTACCTTTTTTTTCATTTCAGAGTCAGCAGTTGTCACCTTCAAATAAAAAGATCAAACTTGACAAGAGCCCTTCAAGATCATGATAGGCAATTCACAAGTCAAGAACTTTTGTTAACTTGTAAAGACCGTATAGAGATTGTGCATATTCAGCAAACGTTTCAAGGAATGGCCTAGTCAAGCTAGACGCTCCTTTTAAATTTGTAATGAAATAAATATTACAATGTGTATGTAATGAAATAAGTTGGATCATTTTCTCTTGCGTAAAGAGAGTTGTAACTTCTTGAGCTCTGTCGATGAGTCAGACAAGTGATCGAGGTCCTTCCATGAAGGGTTTAAATGTCATGTTTCTTAGGTAAAAAAAACTTTTGTATAGACTCCTCTTTAGTAATGAGTTATTTTTTTAACGAAGTTATGAAAAGTATCAATAACATTTCAGTGGATGAAGGCTATCAATGTTATTATGACTGTTTATGTAGAATGTTTGATACAGTGATAATGTATTGCAGACTTAGACATTTTAACATTTTCAAATTTTTAATTTCCATCAACACATTGAAAAAAAATTGTCCTGAATAATTTCCTTAGATGTTACTACACATCTTTTGTAACTGTTTTTGTCAAATTAAACTGTTACAAATAAGTACAATATTCATGTAAAATAAAAGTAAGCAAATGCTATTTTTTAAAGAATGTTTAATACTATTTACTGACAGTCATCATCACTTCAACTTCATTGACGATCCAGATGGCTCGATCCAACTTCTAGGGAATCCTTGCAAAAGTGTAGTCAATGTAATCAGCCTAATTGTCTGATGCACCCCACTTTATAGCACACGAAAGTTAATTACCTCCTAGCTGCTACGACTGTTCTACTAGTATATCTGATGATCTTTGTTGCTTTTAGTGTTTCCCCGCCAACTCGTATTTCCCTTTTAAAAAATTCAGCAATTTTCCCACTCGTGTACAATTTCTGATACGTTGTTTCACTTAAATTCGATGTTTTATAGCATTTTATTAAAAAAAGCACTATGTCTTTAATGTCTAGGAAATGTCGGCATTTTGTACCTTAATTACTTTTATTTGATGGGTTTAATCGTTTTTAGGGTCTAAATCGACAATTGAAAATAGATTTACAGTATGCTTGGATATAGAAAATGTGACTTTTGGACACTTTCAAACGGAGATGGGACAAGCTTTACAGGTATTTAACGTGGGTCTACAGTTACTAAAAAATGCGCGTCCCATCGCCAGGAATGCGAGTCCGGATGAGACCATTTTTCTAATTTATATAGAGAAAATATGACCGCCCTGACTTTTTTCTCTCACACCTAAAGAAAATGTATATATAAAAAAAATTCTAAATAAGATTACATGTTCAGATTAACGTTATATGCACAGTTTAAAATTATTTTTAAATTGAATGGATTAAATATGTATTGTAAAGAAGAGAACATAAAAGGAGATTGATCGAAAAACTAAGATATTAGAAACCGTAAAAAAGGAATTTATGTATTTATGACACCTCATAGCATACGAGAACATTTATCCGTGCAGAATTCTATACGATTATACCGTAAAAAGAATGCATGTACTGCTAAAATTACTGTAAATGTGGTTATACATGTAGAACTATAGCCCTATCACACCTTAACTTTACGTGTTCTCAATTCATAAGCTCGTATTAGTTATTGAAACGCGCAATTCTGGGTGTTTGTTTAGTTTGGGTCCGGCCTTTAGACATAAATAATAGGCTATATAATTTTTTTTTTTTTTTTTTTTTGCTATATACGATAAATCGCATAGTTAAGTCGTCTTCTATATGGTGATTAAAAAGCAGATTCAAGAGCTATCTTTTCCTGGTAAAGTACAGATAATAATCATGGCGTGGCTGGATAAAACCAGTGACACTTGCGATCCACTTGAGAATATATTATCATAAATAATCAAAACAGAAACAAATAAGCAACACGTACAACACAAACTGTTTATTGGGAATACATAAATATTGACTAAAATAAGGCTCGGCAAATTGTTAAGCTGGTTAACGATCGGCCATTCCACCATCTGGCCATTTCATTGAATAAAAACAACGATGATTTCGTTTTACTTTTTAATTTTTTCACTTTTCATACCAATCCCTAACGCATTTTTTTCGAAAACAAAAGTGATTTCCTCAAAATTAGACCCTTGTTGCGCTCTACAACAAATGAATCGATTTTGCGTTCCGAATATAAAATGTTGAGATAATTACACACAATATAACACTTTATAAATTTAGACAGTTGTAGAATGTCAACAAAACCAATAATAATAATAATTTAGCTAGATTTCCGTCAGGTTTCAAAACAGCGACTTTATAATAATAATAATAATAATAATATTTATTTCTTAAAACCGCACTACACTACCGTCTCAGTGCTGTTTACAGGTAAAATTATCAGGATTACAACTAATTATATATATAATAAAAGCTAAGGTAAAAAAAATAATTAAAATAATTAAAGCTGGTTAAAATAGTAATGGTCCGAACAATAAAACTTTTTTTCTGATAAAATGAGAAAATATTAATTAAAATTCTGTGCAAATAAAAATGTTTTTAAATCTTTTTTAAAAACCTCAATACTATCAATAGTCCGAATGTGTGAGGGTAATTGATTCCATAAAATTGGTGCTGAAATTGAAAATGCCCTGTGGCCGTAGGTTTTTTTTTTTTTTTTATCATTTCTGATAAAACATGGAGTGGAGGTGGATCTGGTAGACCTGGTGAGACTGGGTGTACTTGGATGTAGCATCGAGTTAAAATATGAGGGGCATTCGAATTCACCTCTGGTGAATTTAAAAACAAACAACAGTAATTTAAAAACAATTCTCTGTCGTACAGGAAGCCAATGTAGTTCGAATAAAATTGTTTGATCTGAGAGGGGTTTTGGTCAGTAGTCGTGCTGCGGTCAGTAGTCGTGCTGCAAATACTCAAATATTATACTCAAATATTATTAGTTGAATGATGCAAATAGTAAACAATTTTGCTCTTTCCTTTGTGCTGACGATCCACAAATACCAGCTGGCATGCAATGGCGGCAAAACGTGTGTGGCTGAAAACAATGATAATAACAATATACCATTTATACACTAGAGGAAATGACGTGAAATCACAACGTGAAAATAGCACACAATAAAATAGTTTCAAATAGCAAGAAATCAGACTGTCATTAGGGTAGGGTAAATCTCATAGAATAAAGTCGGATTAATAATACAATCAGGTAACTAATGAAGCGGCACTTATCTGTGGGATGCAAGAATTAAAAGTGGCGGATGATATATGCATGTATGAATGTGAAGGAGTATAATCTAAACTTGACATAAGCCACATCATAAGCACAAAGGACTTTTTGACCGATATGCCTCTATAATCACCTGTTTCTCTCTATATTTTTTTAAAGTTATTATTTACCCTACCCTACTGCCATGGTATCCACGCGGCATAAACCAGTTAATAATAAAACAGTTTTGTGCTGTAACTTCAATGTGAGCCATATGACTATACTATGAGAGTCAATGTGCGCAATAGTAATGAAATGAACTCGAAAAAAGTAGCATTTTTAAAAAATGCTAAAAAAAAAAAAATCAAAATTAGTCTTACACAATTGTAGCAGTACAGAAGACTAATATTCAACAAAAAAGACTATAACAAACCTCTACACTTTGTCTTGGATACTATAAGCGTCCTGCGCGTGAAGCTGGTACAGGTAACCTTATAAACCTTGTATTTACAGTCACATTGACAACAAATAATCAACTAGTTCATAGTGCCGATTGACTGAAGTAACTTGATGAGAACAATATTTGTCGCATGACAGAATTAAAATGACCGAAAGTCCGAAACTCTATTACCAGACATTCTACCATTATTGAAATACAACATGACCTAATAATCACCAAATTGTCCTCAATGACCCACGGTAAAGTCACCCCACAATGTGATACCTGGTTTCAATCATTAGATTAATGTTTTTCGATATTTAAAATGCAGTGGTATTTCTATGGATTTAATTAAAAATGTCTTAATGGAATTGCTGTGTGGGTATGTTTCACAAAAGTAAGATTATGATAATAGATTATGAGTATAATGAGTATAATGGACTGTTTAAACCGAACATGGGCGTAACTAGGCATACGCACGGATGCACTGTGAGTACAATTTTTTGGCCAACCATGATATTATTTTATATAAATTTAGTGTATTTTTCACGGAATATAAAAGAAAATCCTCTGCTTATTAAAGTCACCTGTATGTACAAATCCTCTGTATCAATTGTATAGGCACAACTGTTCTGACCCCCCCCCCCCCCTGCGATGTGTGGTACATATGCTGTAATTACGCTGTCCTTCATCTCTTGCGTTAGTCTACATTTTGCTGGGAATTTTAAAAATCTGTGCGTACAATTTTTAAAGGTCTGGTTACGCCCCTGCCGAATTCAAAATTTTCCTTATGACACGCAAAAATATGTTATACAATATCACCTATGCCACACTATAAGCCAAACAGTGCAGGCATTTACATATGTGGCCACGAAAGAACTAGTGGCAGTATCGCGACTGAGAAGATGGAAAACCATCCCGAACACATCGCAGCTTTCGTGGTCGCCGAAGCCGGCTTGGGGGAATGTGAAAAAATGCCTGTTGCAGGCGAGTTGCCCTGTCCAGTGGGGTTATTTGAGATACATTTTCGCCAGTGGTTATCTCGGATAACGTATATCGGCACATCTGTCCCATTGTAAACAATGGCTGGCTTGTTTGCAGCAANTGCGATGTGTGGTACATATGCTGTAATTACGCTGTCCTTCATCTCTTGCGTTAGTCTACATTTTGCTGGGAATTTTAAAAATCTGTGCGTACAATTTTTAAAGGTCTGGTTACGCCCCTGCCGAATTCAAAATTTTCCTTATGACACGCAAAAATATGTTATACAATATCACCTATGCCACACTATAAGCCAAACAGTGCAGGCATTTACATATGTGGCCACGAAAGAACTAGTGGCAGTATCGCGACTGAGAAGATGGAAAACCATCCCGAACACATCGCAGCTTTCGTGGTCGCCGAAGCCGGCTTGGGGGAATGTGAAAAAATGCCTGTTGCAGGCGAGTTGCCCTGTCCAGTGGGGTTATTTGAGAGACATTTTCGCCAGTGGTTATCTCGGATAACGTATATCGGCACATCTGTCCCATTGTAAACAATGGCTGGCTTGTTTGCAGCAATCTTGTCCTCAAGTTCGAACAACTTACGGAGTCCTTCATTGTAACTTCTAACATATTCACTAAGCATAAGCGGTATGGAGATTTGAAATATGGTGCTGTTGGTG